ACAACAACAAAATCCAGAAAAACGCATGTCAAAAATTTTATAAATTGATTTGCATTTTAATGAGGGAAATAAGTATTTGACCCCCTCTCAATCAAAAAGATTTCTGGCTCCCAGGTGTCTTTTATACAGGTAACAAGCTGAGATTAGGAGCACACTCTTAAAGGGAGTGTTCCTAATCTCAGCTTGTTACCTGTATAAAAGACACCTGTCTACAGAAGCAAGCAATCAATCAATCAGATTCCAAACTTTCCACCATGGCCAAGACCAAAGAGCTCTCCAAGGATGTCAGGGACTAGATTGTAGACATACACAAGGCTGGAATGGGCTACAAGACCATCGCCAAGCAGCTTGGTGAGAAGGTGACAACAGTTGGTGCGATTATTCGCAAAAGGAAGAAACACAAAATAACTGTCAATCTCCCTCGGCCTGGGGCTCCATGCAAGATCTCACCTCGTGGAGTTGCAATGATCATGAGAATGGTGAGGAATCAGCCCAGAACTACACAGGAGGATCTTGTCAATGATCTCAAGGCAGCTGGGACCATAGTCACCAAGAAAACAATTGGTAACACACTACGCAGTGAAGGACTGAAATCCTGCAGCGCCCGCAAGGTCCCCCTGCTCAAGAAAGCACATATACAGGGCTGTCTGAAGTTTGCCAATGAACATCTGAATGATTCAGAGGAGAACTGGGTGAAAGTGTTGTGGTCAGATGAGACCGAAATGGAACTCAACTCGCCGTGTTTCGCGGAGGAGGAATGCTGCCTATGACCCCAAGAACACCATCCCCACCGTCAAACATGGAGGTGGAAACATTATGCTTTGGTGGTGTTTTTCTGCTAAGGGTAAAGGACAACTTCACCGCATCAAAGGGACGATGGACGGGGCCATGTACCGTCAAATCTTGGGTGAGAACCTCCTTCCCTCAGCCAGGGCATTGCAAATGGGTAGTGGATGGGTATTCCAAATTGACAATGACCGAAAACACACGGCCAAGGCAACAAAGGAGTGGCTCAATGTCACGATCGTCTAGAACAGGAGACCAAGGCGCAGCGTTGCGAGTGAACATATTATATTTATTAAATGCTCACAAGAACAAAAACAATAAACAACGAAAGCGTGACTTCCAGTGTACAACACGAACACACACGAACAAAATCCCACAACCCGAAAGAAAAACAGATAGATTAAATATGGCTCCCAATCAGAGACAAACAGCCGACAGCTGACACTCGTTTGCCTCTGATTGGGAGTCACACCGGCAACCATAGAAAATAAACCACCTAGAACACCCACCAGAGAAACAGAAAACATAGAATGAACACACCCTGGCTCAACATATTGAGTCCCCGAGCCAGGGTGTGACAGTACCCCCCCCCTAAAGGCGCGGACTGCGACCGCGCCTAAATACGAGCGAAAACAGGGGAGGGCTGGGTGGGCATTCCTCGGCGGCGGCTCCGGCTCTGGGCTAGATCCCCACTTCCTCTCCAACCCCCCAAAGTACCCCTGGTCCTGTCTAGCCCCGCTGGCCGGAGCCGGACTGACGACACGCGCCCCTGGCCTGGTGCGTGGAACAGGAACGGATCGGACCGGGCTGACGACGTGCACCACAGACTTGGTGCGGAGAGCAGGAACGACCCGGACAGGGCTGACGACTCGCATCCCTGGCTTGGTGCGAGTAGCAGGAACGGGTTGGACCAGGCTGGCGACTCGCACCCCTGGCTTGGTGCGAGTGGCAGGAACAGGCCGGGTCGGGCTGGCGACGCACACCGTAGGCTCTGTGCGTGGAGCAGGGAAAGGCCGGGCTGGGCTGGCGACGCACACCGTAGGCTTTATGCGTGGAGCAGGAACAGGCCGGGCTGGGCTGGCGACGCACACCGTAGGCTTTGTGCGTAGAGCAAGGACAGGCCGGGCTGGCGACGCGCACTACATACTCGGTGCGGAGCGCAGGAACGGGCCGGGCTGGGCTGTCGACGCACACCGTAGGTTTGGTGCGGGGAGCAGGAATAGACCGGACCGTACTGGGCACACACACCACTGGCTCCACACCGGGATCTGGAACGGGCCGGACCGGACTGGCAACACCCGCCAGTACCTCTCGCCGTGCCTCTACACCTTCCATCTCCTCTTCTACCAGTAGCCCCCGTAACCTGGCGGCCTCCTCTGCAACCCCGCTGGACCGCTCCATAGCGGCCTCCTGCTGCCCCGATGTCGTGAGCCCCCCCCTAAAAATTTTCTGGGGGTCTCTCCAGGCCTCCAACATTCTCTCCCACCTTTCGCTCCTCTGTCTCCAACCCTCCTCACTCAACTCCTCAATGGGCTTGACCCAGTCGAAGCTGCCACGGAGATCATTTGGCGATGGCCCTTGGACACGCTGCTTGGTCTGGTCTTGGTGGGATTTTCTGTCACGATCGTCTAGAACAGGAGACCAAGGCACGGCGTTGCGAGTGAACATATTATATTTATTAAATGCTCACAAGAACAAAAACAATAAACAACGAAAGCGTGACTTCCAGTGTACAACACGAACACACACAAACAAAATCCCACAACACGAAAGAAAAACAGATAGATTAAATATGGCTCCCAATCAGAGACAAACAGCCGACAGCTGACACTCGTTTGCCTCTGATTGGGAGTCACACCGGCAACCATAGAAAATAAACCACCTAGAACACCCACCAGAGAAACAGAAAACATAGAATGAACACACCCTGGCTCAACATATTGAGTCCCCGAGCCAGGGTGTGACACTCAAGAAGAAGCACATTAAGGTCCTGGAGTGGCCTATCCAGTCTCCAGACCTTAATCCCATAGAAAATCTGTGGAGGGAGCTGAAGGTTTGAGTTGCCAAATGTCAGCCTCGAAACCTTAATGACTTGGAGAAGATCTGCAAAGAGGAGTGGAACAAAATCCCTCCTGAGATGTGTGCAAACCTGGGGGCCAACTACAAGAAACATCTGACCTCTGTGATTGCCAACAAGGGTTTTGTCACCAAGTACTAAGTCATGTTTTGCAGAGGGGTCAAATACTTATTTCCCTCATTAAAATGCAAATCAATTCATAACATTTTTGACATGTGTTTTTCTGGATTTTTTTGTTGTTATTCTGTCTCTCACTGTTCAAATAAACCTACCATTACAATTTTAGACTGATCATGTCTTTGTCAATGGGCAAACTTACAAAATCAGCAGGGGATCAAATACTTTTTTCCCTCACTGTAGTTCATCTGAAACATTCTTACGAGAGTTTGAAAACTACATTTATTTCGTTTTCCTGTATTAGGCACAAGTTTTAAATCAGCATAGCTATAAAATCTGACTGTAGTTTTGACACTTCCAGATCAACTGTTGGGGCAATAGCATACATCCCAAAATTGACCCCTGTGGTACACTTAACCTCATCAATCACGATGGCCTGAGTTCTGTCACTAAGATCAAGCAGGTGGAACAAATATAGCCCCTTACAAGGCACACCTCAAAATGAGCCAGTCTTTCTCCGCCCACAACATTTCCCCACAATGTGCCATCATTCAAAGTATGCTGCTGTAAATATACAGCAAAACAGGGAATACAGTACTTTACTGTAAAATTGTATTGTAAAATGACAGCAATTGCTGTCATTTTACAGCAGTGTTCCGGAATGCCATTGAGCCCCCGTATTACTGTTCTGTAATATATAATAACAGTAGCTAATCTTTTAATGTAAATTTACATACATTTCTTAGTGTAATTCATTGTTATTTTAATGTGTTGGTAACAGTTTTATGAAAGCAATAAGGCACGTGAGGCAGTGCAGTATCATGAATACGGTCACAGGTAACTGACTGGCCCTCCGCTATCGTTTTGGACCGAACAAAACCATTTACCTGTGACCGTATTCAGAATACCATCATGGGGGAAGTTAGGTACTATGGTAAATGTATTCCTTTTACAGAAATGTATGCACATTTAAATCATTATATAGTTCATAAACCAGTTATGTAATTGTAAGACTTTTTACAGTTGGTCTAGTGTCTGTTGCTTAAACTGTTAAAGACCTCTATCATTTTGAAAACCAAGCACTTTAGGCTGCCATTGACAGACATGCTGTTTTATGCCATTTCAAATAGTTATATTGCACAGTAATAATGTTTGGTGGCAGGACTTGCGCTATTATCAGACCTTCCTGAAAAGAAAGTGTTGCAAAATAAATGTACAGCTACATGTTATTCAATCATTTCATCCAAACTGCCCGCACACGTCAACGAGCGTCTGCGTAGCCAGGTGCTAAAATATAACTTGGTTCTGTTTTTGACACGCTGCAAGTTTGTCGCGCTGCAAGTTCCGCCTCTCCCATCTTCTCGTTGGTTTTTCGGAGCATATACCCATGTGGGTGATTGAAAGATGAACTCAGGTCCACACTCCAGTTGGCAGTGGTAATGCACCTTAAAGATGGTTGCCAACCGCCATATAAAGTCCAAAGAAGAAGAAGAAGACTGAAGGAGGAGAGATTACTAGAAACTAACTAGGTTTACCCTTTTATCTGTGGATTAATTGTCGGAGTAGAGGACCGTGTGCATTTCAGGTAAAATACTAGCTACAGCAAGCTAGCTAGCTAAATTGCCATTAATGTTTCATGCGTTTCGACCTGTGCCCATATTAATATAGTTGGTTCAGAGTTAGTTTTGATATTTCAACCTGCGTGTCCAGATCGTGTCTGGTGTGCATGGACAAAATCAACATGCATTCGATTGCGCACGCGGATGCACGCGGATGCACGCGAATGCCCGGTCTAGTCAGCATGTTAGAGTAGGGTTACCCCTTTAATGTACTTGGTAATGTAAACATATTTTTTCATGTAAGACATCCACTCATTTAAATGTTATGGGGGAGGTTAGTTTCAAGCGAGTTTACTGTATATTACAGTTCGGCAAATTAAACCCACCATCATCTGTTGTGTCCCATTTCTTACCATCTCCCTCTCCCCCCCTCTTTCTTTCCCTCTCTCTGTTTCCCCCTGATGAAGCAGAATGAAAAGATGAATCAGATGAACCTGTTCTCCAAGCAGATCGACAAGAAGGAGCCGGTGAAGGGTGGCCTCATGTCCTACACCCTGACTGACCTGAAGATCCCCCTCTCCTATGAGATCCGCCTGGCCCCCATCACCACCTACAGCACAGGAGACTATGTCAGTCGCACCATCAAGTACTCAGAGCGTGAGTAGTGTCCGGCGACTGGCTTGCATCTGCAGCCAAAATGGACACTCTTTAGTTAGTGTCTGATAATAAAAATAACTAATCCATAGCTATCCATAGCTGGCCAAGCAGGGTTGGGGTCAATTCCATTTCAATTCCAGTCAATTCAGAAAGTAAACCAAATTCCAATTCCAAATGTTCCTAATTGAAAAGCATTTAAGAGCATTGGAATTTCATTTTACTTCCTGAATTGACTGGAATTGAAATGGAATTGACCCCAACCCTGTGGCCAAGTAGGCCCTTTTTGTTATGTTCATTTAGGCAATTATTTAAATACATTTTAAAATGTGCATTACTACACAGTTTTATGAAAGTGTATTGTGATAATCAATGTGTATTTCCTTTTTTATAGCCTACAATTACCCAAGACCTTCAGGTAAGAGTACCATGAAACAAATTGATGAAGTGCATGTATGTCGCCGAGTGGGACGTAAATCGTAATAGATCATGTTTCTATTATAACACTGTCGTGAATGGGGAACAGAGAGAGACAGGCTTCATCCCAAGTGGAATCTAATTCCCTGTTAGTGCACTAGGGCTGACAGTGTGTCGCAGGCGTAATTTGTGTGTATGTGCGAGTGAGTGAATGAGTGGGTTGGTTGGTGTGTGTGTGTGCGTGTTTGTGTTCTGTAGTCATCCACAACACATGCAACAATGGGTATTATTGCTGAAGAGCATAAATGGAGTGCCTGTGTGTTCCGTGTGTAATTGCGATGTATCATAGTCCCTCCATCGACAGTGCTTAGTGAATTTCATAGCCAGCAGTGGATTCATGTAATGGGTTGAAATTGATGTGATGGTTGGTTGTTCTTGGTAGCAACTGTGTGGATAGTTGGATAATCAGTTTTAGTTAGTTTGTGTGATTCAGAGTTGAAACAGCCAGATAATTATTGCTGGAATGCTAAGAGGCGATTGAAGTGGGGTTGCCCATGTGATTCACTGGTCATTTTAAAACTTCAAACTTCTCTCGTAAGTTTATTTTCTCTCCCGCTCCGCCTCTCCCTACTATATCTCTCTTTCATATTTTCTTTCATACTCTCCCTCTCTCTTGATAATGTGTCACTCTTTCTATAACACATTCCTTCTTTCACGTCTCTCTTTCTGACAGACCATGTCTGTGGCTTTGAGGACGAGCACATCTGCGGTTTCTCCCAGGACCGTGGCGACAATTTTGATTGGACAAGACAGAACCACCTGACCCAGAACCCCAAGCGCTCGTCCAATACCGGCCCAGAGATGGACAGGAGTGGCACCAAAGAAGGTAGGCTACACTCTTAGACGTAAAGGAGCCTGGAAGAACCTTTTGAGGTTCAAAAAATTGCCACACAGGGGGAACCTTCCCAGGTCACAAAGGTTCCTCGAGAAACTCCTCTAACAGGTTCTTCGAGGAAATACTGTGACATGATGCATATCAAAATACGCGTATACTGGGCTGCCTGTGTAAAGGTTCAAACAGGAAACTTTTTGTTATGGAAGGGGTAAAAATGTTTACCTTTTTAATAATATATTGTAGCAGCAGCCTATCAGAAGATTGGAGGCATGGCCTAATGTCATTCCTGTTCATCATATAAAGTTTGTACACTACAAATACAACATTTCCTTGAATGTTTATTCATATTACAAATGCTAATGTAATATTAATGTTGCTGATTACATAGAGCGCCATGACAGTCATTCAAAATGCATTGACCTCTTTATATAGTAATAAAGTGGTAGTTATAGCAACATTGGGATTTGCATAGGCTCTTGGGGAACTGACACACATCTTTAAGCCTTATTGAAGCTACAAAACTGTCAGTGTTCAACCTTAACATGTGATGACAATACAACAGAACAGATGAACAGGAATTATGTTTACTGTCACTCATACTAAGCCACTCCCTGATGTATTTATTTTTCTTCCCTGGCTACATTAGAGTCAATGAACTAAGTAGACCAGACCCAGCTGCTATCACACTGGTGTTTATGGGAGAGCCACCCCCTAAGCAGACCGGAGCTGACCATTCTTTTCGATGGTAACGGCCTGAGTTAACTATCTTCATTTATCCACCATCTCTGGTTGGCTCATCCAAACAACCAAGCATTTTTCAGAGTGAAGGCTAGTTCGAAGATAATGGGGCCATACTTGCAACCATTTAGTTAAAAGGGTTCTCCAGCTCAAAATATGTATCAACCAATAAAAATCATTGATTTACTTGCATGAGACAGAACGCTAAATTGTAGCTTGTCCAATCAGATAATATGGCACACATTATCCCTATGCTAACTTCAACAGGTGGCACTGAACATATCCTGGCACGAGTGCATCAGCCAATTAAAATAGTTGAAGAAGTTGGACGTGTTCCAACACTTGTTCATGGATGGAAGCATCCTTAAGATACCTAACCAACATCACGTTCTGATCATCAAAGCAACTATCACTTGTAGTGACTGGTCAAATTGCTCTCTGGGTAAAGTGCCCAGTACATTTAAATTGTTGCACATTGTGACAAGGGTTTAAATCTCACAAGTTTTTCCTTCCTTTTGCAATTTTGATTTACATGTATTGTGTTAGTGTGCAGTGCTTGACGTGGACTACATTTAGGTGCTGGTACTCATTTTGGGTGCCGATAACTGTTCATATTTAGGTGCAGAAACTTCACAATACCTTTGAGCTAATATTTTATAAGAGGTGCAGGAACTCAAGCAGTAGAACATTTGAGGTAACGGTACTTAGTTCTGGTGAGCTTCTGCCCAAGTCAAGCACTGTTAGGGTGTTGAAAAGGCACGCCTACAGCCAACAGCTTGAAAATGAAGATGATGAATTAATTTAATAAGGAGCTACCTCTTTCTTCATCCATGTACACAAACACACTGGTGTTGCCTTATAATCATATTGCATAGGCTATATTACATGGCTTATAACGTTTTATATGCGTTATTAGACTCAAAAAGGATGAACATTACAAAGTGTACAGTAGGTAGTTTGCACTCTCGTTATCATTCTACAGATGTCAGTATTGCAGTTCTTTTAAAGAAGTTTATCGAGTCTACAGAACACGAAATCGACAGTCTTAAGGTAAGAAGACAGTTGGCTGTCATTGGTATATTCTTATGTAGGCTACACTTACATGCAGGCTAACCGCCATGCATTATTATAATCATCTACAGTGGGGAAAAAAGTATTCAGAAGATCACATTGCAGGATTTTTAATGTATTTATTTGCAAATTATGGTGGAAAATAAGTATTTGGTCAATAACAAAAGTTTCTCAATACTTTGTTATATACCCTTTGTTGGCAATGACACAGGTCAAACGTTTTCTGTAAGTCTGCACAAGGTTTTCACACACTGTTGCTGGTATTTTGGCCCATTCCTCCATGCAGATCTCCTCTAGAGCAGTGATGTTTTGGGGCTGTCGCTGGGCAACACAGACTTTCAACTCCCTCCAAAGATTTTCTATGGGGTTGAGATCTGGAGACTGGCTAGGCCACTCCAGGACCTTGAAATGCTTCTTACAAAGCCACTCCTTCGTTGCCCGGGCGGTGTGTTTGGGATCATTGTCATGCTGAAAGACCCAGCCACGTTTCATCTTCAATGCCCTTGCTGATGGAAGGAGGTTTTCACTCAAAATCTCACGATACATGGCCCCATTCATTCTTTCCTTTACACGGATCAGTCGTCCTGGTCCCTTTGCAGAAAAACAGCCCCAAAGCATGACGTTTCCACCCCCATGCTTCACAGTAGGTATGGTGTTCTTTGGATGCAACTCAGCATTCTTTGTCCTCCAAACACGACAAGTTGAGTTTTTACCAAAAAGTTCTATTTTGGTTTCATCTGACCATATGACATTCTCCCAATCCTCTTCTGGATCATCCAAATGCACTCTAGCAATCTTCAGACGGGCCTGGACATGTACTGGCTTAAGCAGGGGGACACGTCTGGCATTGCAGGATTTGAGTCCCTGGCGGCGTAGTGTGTTACTGATGGTAGGCTTTGTTACTTTGGTCCCAGCTCTCTGCAGGTCATTCACTAGGTCCCCCCATGTGGTTCTGTGATTTTTGCTCACCGTTCTTGTGATCATTTTGACCCCACGGGGTGAGATCTTGCGTGGAGCCCCAGATCGAGGGAGATTATCAGTGGTCTTGTATGTCTTCCATTTCCTAATAATTGCTCCCACAGTTGATTTCTTCAAACCAAGCTGCTTACCTATTGCAGATTCAGTCTTCCCAGCCTGGTGCAGGTCTACAATTTTGTTTCTGGTGTCCTTTGACAGCTCTTTGGTCTTGGCCATAGTGGAGTTTGGAGTGTGACTGTTTGAGGTTGTGGACAGGTGTCTTTTATACTGATAAGAAGTTCAAACAGGTGCCATTAATACAGGTAACGAGTGGAGGACAGAGGAGCCTCTTAAAGAAGAAGTTACAGGTCTGTGAGAGCCAGAAATCTTGCTTGTATGTAGGTGACCAAATACTTATTTCCCACCATAATTTGCAAATAAATTCATAAAAAATCCTAATATGTGATTTTCTGGATTTTTTTCTTCTCAATTTGTCTGTCATAGTTGACGTGTACCTATGATGAAAATTACAGGCCTCTCTCATCTTTTTAAGTGGGAGAACTTGCACAATTGGTGGCTGACTAAATACTTTTTTTCCCCACTGTACTTTGTCACATGCATTTTGAATCGAGCGTAGAGTAAGAGCTAGCAGTGAACTGTTTTTTCCTCAACAAGAAAGCTTTCTGTGAGGGGGGCTCAAACCCACGGTTAAAGTGGACAATTAACTTTGAGGCAACCGCTTTAGCAGCGTGTGCCACAGAGAAGCAATGCAGACAATAATAGCCTACATGACTGCTATTGACAAATGACAAATCCATAAGGCTCTTCGTTAAAGCACATGGATGTGTGTGAAACTGAAGCAAAAACATGGAATTTTGTCATGTATGCAAAAAAAATTGATAATGTTGTCTGACGTTAGTAGTAGCCTAGTCAAGGATGCATCAGAGCAATATTGACAAACAACCTTTTCTTACAGACCAACGGAACAAGTAAACCTTGAATTTGTAGGTTTCAAATATCCCTCTAGTGGCCAAGGTTGACCTATTTAAAAAATGCCATGGTTGGTGGATATAACTAACATCTTTCATAGGCTGATTAAGAAGTTGTGCCAGGATATAATCAGTACCACCTGTTGAGGTTAGCATAAGGCTAACGTGTAAACACTTGAAAAAATAACGAAAACTTGAAGTCCTATGGGCTATGCACACAACAAGCCTAACAGGAACACAAACAAGATCCCACAACTAAGGTAGGCAACCAGGCTACCTAAGTATGATCCCCAATCAGAGACAACAAGCGACAGCTGCCTCTGATTGGGAATCACACCCGGCCAAACATAGAAATACAATGACATAGAATGTCCACATAGAAATTCCCACACATAGAATATTCACACCCTGACTCACCAACTAGCCAACTCTATGTCAGGGCGTGACAGTACCCCCCCCCCCCCCCCCCCCCCCCCCCCAAAGGTGCATACTCCGGCCGCACCAACCTGACTCATTAGGGGAGCACCAAGCCCTGTCTGGACCCTGGTGTGGGAGGCCCCGACCCTGGAGAGGGGCTGACTTCTGGGTCTGGACTGGAGCCGCTGACCGGAGCTGAACTGGGAACACGCACCACTGGTCTGGTGCGAGGAGCAGGCACGGGTCGTGCCGGACTGGAGACACGCACCACTGGTTTGGTGCGGGGAGCAGGTACAGGCCATACCGGACTGGGGAGCAGGTACAGGCCATACCGGACTGGATACGCGCACCACTGGTTTGGTGTGGGGAGCAGGTACGGGGCGTACCGGGCTGGCGACACGCACCACTGGTTTGGTGCGGGGAGCAAGTACGAGCCGTACTGGACAGGATACGCGCACCACTGGTTTGGTGCGGGGAGCAGGTACGGACCGTACTGGACTGGATACACGCACCACTGGTTTGGTGCGGGGAGCAGGTACGGGGCGTACCGGGCTGGCAACACGCACCACTGACTTGGTGCGGGGAGCAGGTACGGGCCGTACTGGACTGGATACATGCACCACTGGTCTGGTGCGGGGAGCAGGTACAGGGCGTACCGGGCTGGCGACAGGCACCACTGGTTTGGTGCGAGGAGCTGGCACAGGCCGTATCGGGCTGTGGAGACGCACTGGAGGTCTGGAGAGTAGAGCTGGCACAACCCGTCCTGGCTGGATGCCCACTTCCGCACGGTACGTGCGTGGCGTTAGCGCAGGACGCACTGGACTGTGCAGGCGCACTGGCGACACAGTGCGTATCTCCGCACAACATGGAGCCTGCACGGTCACATGCTTCTTAGCGCAAATACGGGGAGTTGGCTCTGCTCTGAACCCTGGCTACGCCAACCACCCTGTGTGCCCCCCAAAAAAAAATTATTGGGGCTGCTTCTCGGGCTGTCTTCGTGACCGAGTCCTTTTAAGGCGCCGTTTCTCTCCTACCTGGGCTTCCTCCTTCGTCCAGGGTCCTTTATCAGCTACACTCTCCTTCTCCACCCTCATCCTTTCAGGGCCTCCATATACTTGGCCAGATCCTCTCTTATCTCCACCCAAGTCTATGATCTCTGCTCCTCCTGGGCACGCTGCTTGGTCCTTGTTTGGTGGGCGTGGTGCAGCGTGGTGTGCGTACATATTTATTAAAACGAATAAACACTAGACAAAATAACAAAACAACGAAAACGTGACGTCCTATGGGCTATACACACAACAAGCCTAACAGGAACACAAACAAGATCCCACAACTAAGGTAGGCAACCAGGCTACCTAAATATGATCCCCAATCAGAGACAATGAGCGACAGCTGCCTCTGATTGGGAATCACACCCGGCCAAACATAGAAATACAACGACATAGAATGTCCACATAGAAATTCCCACACATAGAATATTCACACCCTGACTCACCAACTAGCCAACTCTATGTCAGGTCGTGACAATGGATGAGTAATGATAAGCAATCTTTATTCTCCTTTTCAAGTGTGGAGCTGCAGCATTTCTGATCTAGGATCAGGTCCCCCCTCTTATTCATTATGGCTTAGGCCAGCACTCCTACTCTTAGGCACTTTGTGAATATGGGCCCAGGTCTTTTGAGCAGTAATGATCCGAAAAGGACCTAAAATCTACTCAACATATTTTTTAAACTATTGACACAGGGCCGATGAGGATGTACTAACGTAGGTACACATTATTTCATAGCACTTACAACTGTCATACCTATTTGCAGCATGCAGAATTCACCAGGATTTACAAATAAATCCACATGTAAAAGGGGACCAAATCCACTGTCTCTAACCCAACCCTCTGTCTCCACTCTCTCACCCTTCTAGGTTGCTACATGTACATTGAGGCCTCTCGTCCCCGGGTCCTGGGGGACACTGCCCGTCTCATGTCCCCCCTCTACAACGTGACCGCTGCCAGGGGCCCCAAGGGCTCTGGTCGTCTCCCCTACTGCGTCTCCTTCTTCTACCACATGAAGGGCAAGCACATCGGTGAGTACATAAACCACACCGGTTCAGAAGTAAATGTAAGTAGCCTTGTCCGAGCCAGAATGTTTTTGTAGCGTGAGGCAGCTGGACAGGACGCTTGTGTCGCAGGGCCTTTACCCCCAATCTATCTCCTTATTGCTGAGTGCCAAGCAGAGAGGTATCGGAACCAAGTCTTTGTAATGACTCATCCGGTGAATAAACCTCCGTCCTTCTTATCTCAGGGTGGACACTCTAAACACAAGGCCACAGACTTCCTACTTGCAGGTGCAGGGTATAAAAGTCATGAAAGTATTCCTTCCTTCTTTATTTCATAACTGATTCACACCTACAGTCTGGCCATAAATTCTGGTCCTAGTCTGTGCCCTAATGTTGTTAGCAACACTTTGAAAGTTAGCCATTTGTGTGGTTGTTAGGTTCAGCATTGAAACGCTGTTGAAATATAGGTGTTCAAACATCAGTGAGGGGGTCTGTGTGTGTGAGTGTACACAGTGGTTCAATTGGGATTTGTAAGGTGGGAGGTCCCTAGTTCAGGGCCTATTAAACAATATATACTGACAAAAGCACATATCACAGGATACTACACGTTGCAGAGGGACTTACAATTTGACTGTGAGGAGGTCAGTTCTGGTGACTTTTTAAAAGGACATTCTACGAAATAAATGAAATAAAATAAAATGATGCTGACATCTAAAATATAATTTCCTCCTCCAGAAATGAGCCCAATAACATGTTGGTCCATATTATCAGGCAGGTGTGCTATTTAGCAATAAGCATGATCACCTTATGTAGCCCACCTGATGCAGCATAGTGGCTATAAATAGGCTACATAGGATGAGGTTTGCCCATCTGCATTTACCCCATTGGGCTAATCATTGGCTAGATCAAACTCTAAAGTCTTGTTGCTAGTTAGCAACATATTGATGACTTGAATGTCCCCCCCAAAAAATCCACTGGCACTCAGCCAACCAAGGATCATGTACTGGGAGTATAATACCTGACCTGCTGTCGTGAGACCCATGTATGCCAGTCTCCCTAGCCAGGACAAAGTGGGCATGCTTTGTCATTGTCTTACTAGGACTGGACCGGAGATGACAATAAGCACATAAGGACATAGACAGATGGGACAATAAGGACTTAGATAGATGGGAAAACTGTCAGTATCACAACCACAAGCTTTGTCTCTCCTTTGTCAAAAGACCACCTCCACCACACTGTAGTGTGTGTGTGTCAAATACCCCCTGTCAGGTTTGTCCCTGCATGCATGTGTGTGTACTCCTCAAAAGCAGGTGGTGGTGGTAAGAGAAGGGGGCAGAGGGGGTGTCGCTGGGTGATTTACGAGAGGGGGCACGACGCAATCAGTCACTGGAGAGGTGGTTCATCATAGCGCGTGCTATCGGACGGGTTTATCGAGTGCATAGATCTTATGGCACACTTTGTCCATGTCAACAACCCGGCCCTGCTGATTTATGGGTGTGGAGGGTCTGTGTGTGTGAAAACAAAGGTTTTTGTGCATGGGCATGTGTGTGTGATCCCCTTGGAACCATTGTCCCCCCCGTCACTCTACAGGTACTCTAAGTGGTGTAGTTAGAGGTGTTCCCTCTGCAAAATAGAAAGTGAGTTTAATCAATTCTATTATAGAGGTGGGGTTGTATCTGGTGTATAGGGAAGTGTAGGAGGAAGACGGACGCGTAGATCCTAAATCGATCTCACAACCTCTTAACCTCTCTCTCTCTCTCCCTCCATTCTCTAATTGTTTAATTAGTTGTTGCCCACTGACTGCCCCTGAACACCCTCACCCAGACCACTCAACACTTATTCTCCCGTCTCTCATTCTCCCTCTCTCCTCTCCTCTCTCTATGTATGTCTTCTGAATGGCTGCCCAGTGACAGACCAGACACCAGACACACTCCTGAAACATCCTCCCTCCATTCCGAGGCATTATCGACTCACTTCTCAAGTCTCTACTTTATTAGTGTAATGCTTTTTTAATAAGGGCTGACTCTTTAAGTCGGACTGCTGCGACCCTAGAAGAAATGGAAGATCAGGGAGTGAAAATGGAAGTAGAGAGACAATAGTCCATTAATCCCAGCCCTTAATTTGGAGGGGATTCCCCTACACTCTTATAATTATTATTATTAACCTTTATTTAAACTGGGAGTTACATTGAGATAAAACTATTTTACAAGAAAGCCCTGTATACGTTTACAAATAAAACCTAATACATATATAAAACACAACAGCCCTTCATATACATTACAAATAAAACACACTATAATAAAACACAATACACAACATTAAACATATTTAAGGAAAGCAATAGCATTCCGTAATATAAAAGCCTGAAAGGCACCAGAATATCTAATTGCAAGGAATTCTATGTATTGTTCCACACATAAGGAGCAAAAAAACTCAAAGCAGATTTTCCTGATGAATCCTAAAACCGTCCCCAGTGATAAAACGTAATGCTGAATGGAATACTGAGTCCAAAACAGAGGCTGCCATGTGCATATAAACAATGTAACCATAGTCTATTTCTGGGAGAAGCGTTGTTTGAACAATCTTCCTTCTATTTTCAGAACTGAGGCAGGATTTATTTATATATATAAAAAACAATCATAGATCTCAGCTTCTTTGTCAACTTTTCAATGTGTGTTTCAAAAGACAGCTTGTCATCAATCCAGATACCCAAGTACTTATAGTGAGAAAGTTGCTCAATTTGGGCTCCAATTGGAGTGCAAATACGCAAGTCCTCAGGATCAACATTACGAGACCTAGGGAACAGCATAAACTTGGTTTTATTTCCATTTAAGATCAGTAAGTGATTTTGGGATTGAGTCAAAATCATGCTGAAGGTCACTGAAGAGGCACAGGAATATATAACTGTGTCATCTGCGTAGAGATGAATGTTACAGGTGTTAACAGAAATTCCAATGTCATTTATATACAACGTGAACAACAATGGCCCCAAAATTGAACGCTCGGGTACCCCTTTAAGCACTGCAAGAAATGTGGATTCAACCCTGTCTATCATAATAGCCTGGGTTCTGTCACTAAGATAATTCTGAAACCACAAACGGGCATCACTGCCAAGGCCAAACACAGACAACCTACTCAATAAGATAGAATTATCAACTGTATCAAACGCTTTTGACAAACGTATAAATAGGGCTGCACAATTCATCTTAGCATCCAAAGAATTAGGGGTGACTCGAGTAATCCTGGAGATTCTCAAGGAAACCTGGAGTTCCTCAAGGAACCATTGCAGCCAATGGGTTCATATTTGCATAATTGGTTAGTTGAGGGGTTGTAGGAGGAACCTTTAGTGTTTCACTGTAGCAAAGGTTACTGGAGGAATATTTTTGCTGGTGTGTGCGGAGCACTTGGATTTGCAGCTGGATTTGTTGCGCTGCCAGACTCAGGAGAAGAAGACAATATGTGTTTTTTGCCGATAGATTTATGAGACAGCAAGCAACTTGTAAACAATGACCCATTCCTATATTTATATTTGTATTTATTATGGATCCCCATTAGCTGCTGCCAAGGCAAAAATATGACAATACAATCACAACAAATTTCACAACACATTAAGTGTGTGCAGTCAGGCCAATATTCTACTACCACATACCTACAACACAAAATCCATGTGTGAGTGTGTGTGTATGCATGCGTCTGTGCCTGTGTTTGTGTCTCCCTGCTATTCCATAAGGTGTATTTCTATCTGTTTTTTATATCTGATTCTACTGCTTGCATCAGTTACTGGATGTGGAATAGACTTACACGTAGTTATGGCTCTATGTAGTACTGTGCGCCTCCCATAGTCTGTTCTGGACTTGGGGACTGTGAAGAGACCACTGGTGGCATGTCTTGTGGGGTCTGAGCTGTGTGCCAGTAGTTCAAACAGACAGCTCGGTGCATTTAACATCAATACCTCTCACAAATACAAGCAGTGATGAAGTCAATCTCTCCTCCACTTTGAGACGGGAGAGATTGACATGAAAATTATTCATGTTAGCTCTCTGTGTACATCCAAGGGCCAGCCCTGTTCTGAGCCAATTGCAATTTTCCTAAGTCCCTCTTTGTGGCACGTGACCACACGACTTATAGACAGACTTCTCCCCATCTTAGCTACTGTTGTGTCAATATGTTTTGACCATGACAGTTTACAATCCAGGGTTACTCCAAGCAGTTTAGTCACCTCAACTTGCTCAATTTCCACATTATTCATTACACGATTACATTATTCAATATTTAGGACTAACTTATTCCTTGCCACCCATTCTGAAACTAACTGCAGCACTTAGTTATATGTTGCAGTCATTTCAGTCGCTGTAGTAGCTGACATGTAAATTGTTGAGTCATCTGAATACATAGACACACTAGCTTTACTTAAATTAGAAAATATTGAAAAAAGTGAGTGGCCTAGACAGCTGCCCTGTGGAATTCCTGATGCTTACCTGGATTTTGTTGGAAAGGCTTCCATTAAAGAACACCCTTTGTGTTCTGTTAGACAGGTAACTCTGAATCCACAAGATAGCAGGTGGTGTAAAGCCATAACATATGTTTTTCTAGCAGCAGACTATCATCAATAATGTCAAAAGCCTCACTTAAGTCTAAGAAAAACAGCCCCCACAATCTTTTTATCAATTTCTCTCTGCCAATCATTTGTGTAAGTGCTGTGCTTGTTGAAAGTCCTCCCCTATAAGTGCGCTGAAAGTCTTTTGTCAATTTGTTTACTGTAAAATAGCATTGTATCTGGTCAAACACAATTTTTTCCAAAAGTTTACTAAGTGTTGGTAACAGGCTGATTGGTCAGAGGCACTGAGGGCACACACTTTCTAGTAGGCTTAAATGTAAGATATGGCAAATAGGAGTGGCAATATCATCCGCTATTATCCTCAGTAATTTTCAATCCAAGCTGTCATACCACGGTGGCTTGTCATTGTTGATAGACAACAACAAAAAATGTCAACTCTTCCACACTTTCTTTATGGAATTCAAAATTACTTTCATAATTTGGTCAGATATACTTGGATGTGTAGAGTCAGCGTTTGTTGCTGGCATGTCATGCCTTAGT